CTCTGGCCCTTTTTTCTTCTTCTTTCCTTCTTCCTTTGTCTGTTTGTTTGCTTCTTTCTATCTTGATTTCTTGATTTCTGTCTTGCTTTCTGGCTGTCTGTCTGGCTGTCTGTTAGTCTGTCTGTCTGTCTGGTTTTCTGTCTGTCTGTTTGTCAGTCTCTCTCTCTCTCTCTCTCTCTCTCTCTCTCTCTCTCTCTCTCTCTCTCTCTCTGGCCCCTTTTTTTTTTGTTATCTCGCCTGCTTGCATCAGTTGGATGTTTGCGGTGATAGGAAAAGTATCGTAAAGAGAAGAGATCATGTTTCCTTTCTCGATCAAAAATGATGAGCAGGCGACGAGTGGGGTGATCGCCCCAGACCCGCAAAGCTGCTATAGTGGCATAGGCCGATCTCTTCCGACTTGTCGACTCAAAAACAAACGCGTGTGTTTTTAGACGACGAGTGGGACGATCGCCCCCGACCCGACCCGACCTGACCCGACCCGACCCGATCCCATCCCCAATGAGCACCCCGTATAAGTCTCTCTGGCACATTCCAGTCTGACCTATGCCTATGCCACTATAGCCGCTTTGCGCTCCCAATCTGGCTAGTAAACCACCCCGACCAGACCCGATCCCCCTGTGGGCACTCTGTATTAAAATGTGTGCGTCGTTTACAAGTGTTGTCCGTATACACGACATTATGCCGATGATCGAGGAGTTTTTTTTTCACCTTTGCTTGACATACATAATTGATTTACATTTGGCTGTACGGAAATTTTTAAACATGCGCTGCTAGATCTAGTCAATTCAGGAATGTACTTGACACTATTTTGATTGAAGTTGTACAGCTTTGTTTTCTCTTTATGGTGAAGAATTTGTTGACCCTTATGTTGTCAAAGCATGCGGTGTTGCCAAATAACAATACATTTTTTAACCAAATCTAGCAATCGTTCGACTTACATGTTCATGTATTTCAGCCCTTAGTTTTTTGCTGTTTTTCTACTTTAATTTATACTTGCGCTGTGCAATTAGAACAGTAGCTGTTGTTACATAGTTACATGTCCTTTACATAATTATTAGTCTCAATTTTCCTAAGATCAAAATCGTTTCATCATCTCTAAGGAGGCACCATGTTCTGTGGCG